TCTCTCTCTCTCTCTCTCTCTCTCTCTCTCTCTCTCTCTCTCTCTCTCTCTCTCTCTCTCTCTCTCTCTCTCTCTCTTGTGCGAGCTCTTAGTTTCATTGCTTTGGCCACCTTAGGGTTGCGTTCCCCACGCCCACGCGGTAGACAATTAGGTATTTAACTCTGCAATCACTGAGACATCCCCATGGACCAAGAACGTCAGGCAAACCTCTCATAACTTAGACCCAAAATACAACAACGTTACCATGGGCTAAACTCTTTGGGAGGTGTGCGGGCAGTGTATGTAATCCTTGCCATGCATCACCCCAAGGGGTGTGTGCAAATGGTCGTGCGCCATGCCGGTGTCCCTGCACATGGGTGCAAAGTCTAATCTTCACTCGTCTATAGTGATGAAGATGATGATCTCGCCAAAGCGCCTAAAATGACAACAGCCAAAGAGACACTCCCAGGCTTCATATCTAGGACCAGTTATGGCCCACGCAATCGGTTGTGATCATTGCAATAGGTCAAGGTGGTCGGGTATAGCGGCTGCGACCTTATACCTTGATCTGGCAGCTTTGAGTGTCTACGCTAAGCCGCCGCCCATGCCCCCCACGCCCCCCTTTTCTCGGCCATTCGGCTAAGATCCGACTATAGTGGGTTTTAATAAGATATTTCCAGGACCCTGTTTGAGGACCCTGTGCTCGCCCAAACAAATTGGTGAGTGGGACCTGGCACGAGGCCCCATAGAAGGTCGTTGCTTTTTCTTTTATGAAAATAAGAACGACAAGTGGACCCGCCGTAGCGAAGGACGATGAAAAAAACACCCTAACCATCAGTTGGATACCATCTTTGCAATGAACTCCTACCGAAAGCTGCCCAACTTTGCAAAATGGCCCGACAGTTGCCAACACGCCATAGGTGCAATTGGATTGACTTAAGTAGGAAAGTGAAATAGAAAGCAAAAAAAAAAAGACACAAAGAAAAAAACAAAGGTGTTCCTCTTCCTCCAACGACCTTCTCCCTGTCCCCTCATCCCCCCCTCCCGCTTTCCTCCTCCGTCCCTCCCTCTTTCCTCCTTAATCACTACCTCCCTCCTCCCTTCTCCATCGTCCCTCCCTCCCTCTTTCCTCCTCCCACCTCCTCTATCCGCTTACCTCCCTCCGTGTGCCTCTCCTTACCGTGCTTCGATTGCCCTCTGCCTCTTCCCTGACTACTCTTGTCCCCTGTTCCGAACCTCACTTACCCTCGCCCCACCCTCCCCAACCCACGCCAGACCGTCCCCGATACTTCTCCTCCTCCTCCTCCGGATCTAGTCTCCTTCTCCATCAATCAATCAATCAATCAATCAAGATCGACCTTGGTCGAGATTGATTCATTGATTGATTGTTGATTGATGATTGATCGATTAACTGTAACGGACTCAAAAAAAAGGGAGAACCAAAGACAAAACGAAGAAGGAAACGATGCTAGAATTAAAAAAAAAAATCAAAAAAAAGTGAGACGCAAAACGAAGAAGAAAACGGGACAGGCATGCAAAAAAAAAGAAGAGTTTTTTAGCCACCTCCTCCTTCCACCTAATTTCACCTCCCTCCCTTCCACTTGCCTTTTCCCTCCCCCTCCTCCTCTCCTCTTCGGCTTGCTCGTCCGCCTCCTCCTCATCCTTCTCCTGCTTCCCCTCGACATCTTTCTCCTCCTCCCCCTCCTTTTCGACTTTCTTGTCCTCCTCCCCCTCTTCTTCTTCTTCTTCTTTTTGCTAATCCCGTTCTCCTCCCACCCCTCCCTCGTCCCTCTTCCCCCTCTCCATCTCCCTTCTCCCCCTTCCCGGCCTTTCGCGTACGTCCCTTTTGCCTAACTCCCCTCCATGCGCCTCCCTTCCGCCCACCTCCACAGTCGCGGGGTTTGAGACTTACCCGTCCGCCTCCCCCTCTTCTTCTTCTTCTTCTTGCTCATCTCGTTCTCCTCCCATTCCTCCCTCGTCCCTCGTCCCTCTTCTCCCCCTCCACCTCCCTTCTCCCCTTTTTGTGTACATCCCCTTTGCACAACTCCCCTCCACGCGCCTCCCTTCCGCCCACCTCCACAGTCGAGGGGTTGGAGACTTACCTGTTGGCCTCTCTCTCTCTCTCTCTCTCTCTCTCTCTCTCTCTCTCTCTCTCTCTCTCTCTCTCTCTCTCTCTCTCTCTCTCT